GGGTGCGCACCCCTGCACCCCCCACCCCCACCCCGAGCCGCCTATGGGTGGGGGTGAGTACCTTAAGTCCGGTCCAGGATGTCAACCTATTTTGTTGGTAACAACCCACATCGGACAGCACAACTTGTTCTCGTTCATCCGATGTGGTCATCATGGCGAATTTCTTTTTTTTTTGAAAGGAAAGGGGACCCACTGGTGTTGCATGGACAATGAGTAGAACTGTACATGGCACTGGCAACTTGAAATCCTTTCCAAGAAACATCCCGCTGATGACCGATGCCCTAATGGAGAAACACCTCGCATGGTAAAGACACCGAATTGCTCCGGAATTTAATAATGTCCTTTCCACAGACAAATCTGTTTTTCTGTTTTACAGCACCTAAACGGTTGTCCCGGGATGGAAAATCTGAAAATGGTCCCGAATCTTTATCCGGAGCTGACAGTGTGGGGTGACGTATCTTTAATGGGAATTAGGCCTTTAACATTAGGTCACCCAGATTCTTAGAATTTGGTGTTTGTGAAAGTGGTGTCCATTTATGTTTCAAAAGGACAATGGGCGCCTCCATGCGTCGACACAGACACAACGGTTGTTTCGGGACAATGACGTCACAACGCTTGATTTCCGGCCATAACGTCAATGAGAATGTGTGGCGGCGTATGAAGGACAATGTTGAGAAGTTACAACCTGGCAATGTTGTGTGTTGGAAAGACGCATTGACCAAGTCTTGGCTCAATCTACCTCAAAATACTACAAATATTTTGACTGACAGTATGCAGAGGCGCGTGTGCCAGTGCCATTAAGAGGGAGGATTCCTTAACTGACTATCAACTTGACGTTTCACGATTATGATGTGCTACGTGCATATCTACGTGCATGTTGAAAATGATATTGATTCATTCGTAACTGCATGCGAACAGTTCGTGTTTTTTGATAAACCACCGGCATCCTCCAGACACCTACATGTATAAAGTCTTAGGGTTGAGACTTATTAATACAATCATCCCAAACAAAATCCAAATGTCGCGACGTATCCTATCTGATGCTCCTGCACAGTTCCAATCCGTTAACAATAAAACATGCCAGTTCGATGATACAGTTTTCTCCACGTTTCTCTCGCACAACACAATTAATCACACACCTGTTGATAGTTTTAATTTTTTAACGGGAACTTTTATTACCGAATCTATAAAACTACCAATCTCACGACAGGAACGAAGTTGGATTCTCCCAATAATGGACCTGAACATCACTACTGGGTATGATTAAAAATAACTCGTTTCCTAGTACGTGTTGTTAATGGTTCCTCAGTGGGCTCTGGGTATTCACAAACACCTGCCAATGTTGTTATCTCACAGCGACAATGTGGCTGCATCTAATCGCTTCCTTTACTACTTGACTATATTGCACGAGACAACGATAAGAAACTGGAATATCACTTGACACTCGCAGTTAGGAGTTCTTTCTGCTCTATATGAACTGGATATTGGTAACAAAGGACGAGTTGATTAAACCTACGTTTGATATGCGCTCACGTAACGTTGCTGACGGAGACGTCAAATGACATTACACCCTTTCGTGACATTGTCATGGAAACATGGCTTCATTAGCAGATGTTGAAGGAAATAGGGTATTATAATTTTGTGAAACAATATTTTGACGTGATATGCGAAGGGCTGAAACGGAATGATTATTGATCAAACGTATGACATTTACAGAGAAACCGAGACCTGTTTTATCTCAGTTTCAGTTTCAGGCTTAAAAGCGCTGTTATACTTGCAGTCTTTTTATAGCCTTTTTTTATCACAGGCATATCGGTTAAAAAACATAAGCTGCCCATATACAGTTATCGCTATGACGCAAGTCGATCCCGTTGCTAGGAATCACTGAAGAATTGCACGTGCACGGATGTTGAAACTGAATGCGATAACTCAAGTAGTGGTGTTTTCATTACTGGCTTACAAACTATGGATTGAATTCCTGCATTTTTATAGCACTTTTATATCAGGTAATATGAAAACTTAAAACTACTACTGCTGCTGCTGCTGTTGCTGCTACTACTACTACTACTGCAGGTAATATGAAAACTACTATACTGAAACTACTACTGCTGCTGCTGCTGCTTGCTGCTGCTGCTACTGCTACTACTACTACTACTGCTGCTGCTACTACTACTACTACTACTGCTGCTACTACTACTACTGCTACTGCTGCTGCTGCTACTACTACTACTACTACTGCTACTGCTGCTGCTGCTACTACTACTACTACTACTGCTGCTGCTACTACTGCTGCTGCTACTACTACTACTACTACTGCTGCTGCTGCTGCTACTTTTTTTGACGCCGCATCCAGCAATATTCCATATGGCACCGTCTTTGGATAATCGGGTATGGGCCAGACAATCCAGTGATCAACACCATGAACGATCTACGCAATTAAGATACATGTGTCAACTAAGTCTGCATGGATGGCTATTAATAGATCATAAAAACTTATTAATTATAGGTTATTAGATATTAAAGATATGTATTATTATACAGTAGCCCATATCAATAAAACTGTAAATTGATCGATGATGATAAGGCATCAGTCCAAACTGAAATAATGTACGTTGATGAGTGAAGCTCTGGAACAGAGTTCCCAACTAATGCAAACTCGAAACATTGAAATATTCTTTGACATCATCTTGTCAATCTGGTCGTGAAATACTGTCACATTGTTTAACATACTTGATAACAGATCTTCCACTACACTCTCTCCAACCAAGATCACTGTTTATGCGATATTTGATTTAATGGAGCAGACTGAGCAGTTGAAGGGAGGCCACTCTGTCACGCGAATCGCCGTTATCAACGTTCTACCACAAGAGCCAAAGCATGATTTCAACGTTCAAATCCTGAAAAGAGCAATACAAACCCTCACCAGACTAAAATTTTATTTTGTTCTATCTGGGGATTGAGACAAGGTTTAGCTGCGAGGAGTATTTTTGGGGGGTTTAGTAAAAAGATCATAACCAGCACCTTCTACTGATGTGGAATGGTTTACTTTGATCTCAAAGGAGAACATTAAGATACACCAGATATCAAGTTGAAGTGTAGCTCCATATTTTTTTGTCATTTGTACAGAGATGATTGTAATGTCTAAATTCTTTAAATTTGATTATATTGCCTAGATCATTGTCAATATACATTAATGCGAAAGTATGTCACTTTACGGTTTTTTTACCCAAAACCTGAGATTATATTCACGCCCTCCTCCTTGACAGTTCAGACTGTTGGTGGGACGGCATACAATATTCGTTATTGACCCTGACAAGAGGATAAATTGGGCGTCGGCTAAGGTAAAACTTAATAGTTTAAATGGTCATTTCTAAAAAATAATAAATAACAGACTGGGGTCCTGTCCGCTTATCTGGACTTGCCTCTTGGAAGGATAGAATTACTATACATCCATGGGCTCAGAATTCAGTACAGCCTTAGAGCAAGGCTACCCGATTCTATATGGTTACCGTTGTTGAGATCATGTCCCGAAGTTCGGAACTAGTTGCAAATTCCCGCTGTCTGAGAGCGTTAGTTCTTTACCATGAATGACATGGACAAAGTGACTGACTGGCTTCAAACATTGTGCCCAATGGGGAATCGAACCCGAGACCTCGGCGTCGGCGTGACAAGCGAGCGCTTTAACCACTAATCCACCCCACCACCCCACGTAAACGAACGAAACTATGGTAATGGAGGAATTGAATTGGGACAATTGCTCCAGTACATTAATGAAACAGGACACATTTAAGCTGAAATATACACAAGTATCATTCGATAACATATCAAATAATATAAGGTGGGTAAACCCTTGCCTGGCGTGTTCTATGCGGATGGAATCCCGCATACTGGATCAATAAGTAGGTCAGACGCGATGACATAGTTCCAGAGCATGACGAATGAATGCAGTTTCAGTGTCGTTGTCAGTTGGTTTCCTGGATCCGAAAGTCACCGACATGTACGACAGATTTAGGTGAATGCGGCATATTTTTCATATGTTCATATGCGAGTTTAGAAATTAACGCGTGACAACCCAAACATGCGTTAGTTATAATTCATGAACAATGAATCAGCCACCGAATTGTAACGGTTGCACATGGAGCATGAGCTATGACTCAAGGAACCGGAAGTAAGAAATGCTGCGTCAGTCATTCCAGACAATGTGAATAATACGTCTAGGTTCCAGATCAATGATTGCCACAGATCAATGATTGCCACAGATCAATAATTGCCACAGATCAATAATTACCAAAGATAAATGATTGCCACAGATCAATATTTGCCACAGATCAATGATGCCACCGATCAATAATTACCACAGACAAATGGTTGCCACAGATCAATGATTGCCACCGATCAATAATTTCACAGATCAGTCATTGCCACAGATCAATGATTGCCACTGATGAAGCAGGAGTACATTATTGCTGTAGCTACAGACCTAACTGGCCATGGTCTGCCTGTCATTTACTGTGTCAGAGAACCTTTTGGGGAGGAAGGCGAGTTTTGCTTACAGTTTCATCGAGAACGTGAAACAGAAATCTACAGTTGTCAATGATATTGTTGTTGATGGTGTTGTCAATAAGTACCCGTAAAGATCCGGGTTATAATTGATCTTCAGTGACCCATGCTTGTCGTAAGAGGCAACTAACGGGATCGGGTGGTCAGGCTCGCTGATTTGGTTGACGCATGTCAACGTATCCCAATTACGTAGAACGATGCTCATGATGTTGATCACTGGAATGTCTGCTCCAGACTCGATTATTTACAGACCGCCTCCATATAGCTGGAATATTGTTGAGTGCTGCGTAAACTTAAACTCATTCACTGATATTCGGAAGCACAAGCACACAGCAGTACTCTGTGGCAAAAATAACCAAAGTTGTGGGTACTAAGTAGATATTCACTTTCCAAGCTTTCAAAACGTTCAAAAACAACCCATAACAATGCAGTTTAAAGCTGTATGGAATCATCATTATACTATAAAGCTGAATTTGAATATAACATACTTAAAGAGATGGGAAAGTGCCCGCAAACAATTTATTGAGTGTGTAATAATGGATAAGTAAGCAACGTGATAAACTCAGGTGAACGCGAGTGCTAACATCAACCAAAAGAAAATGCTTTGCTTGAACGTCTCAGCTGAATTGGAGGATGTTGGTACGCCTCGTTAGACAGTCCAGTGTCGGTGGTTCGGTTCTGCTGCCCAATGGAACTGGAATGGTTCTGAGAACCCTTGTACAGCCGCGTTCTTCCTCCGCCATGTGGGCATTTCTTCTTCTTGCAGCACATCTCTCTCCAGCTGTCTCTCACCTCCTTGTTACGGGCTGTGAAGAGGACGAAGATGAGGAAGCCCTGTAAGGTGTTGGTGATGGTGAAGACGTACTGGAACACCACCCTGGCATCTGCGATGGCCAGGTAGCCGAACACCCAGCTTAAACCTGAAATTGATTGAAAGATAACATTGATCTCAGATTGCTGAAGCATCGGTTAGAATTGATCTTCAGTAACCCGTGACTAACGGGACCGGGTGGTCAGGATCGCTGACTTGGTTGACACATGTCGTTGTATCCCAGTTGCGCAAATTGATGCTCATGCTGTTGATCATCGGGTTGCCTTGTCCAGACTCGGTGAATTACAGACCGCCGCCATATAGCTGAAATATTGCTGAGTGCGGCTTAAAATTAATACGTTAGATGATACATCCCCCAAATAGATATCTTAAGTAACCATAACACAAATTCTGCTAAAACGTTTGGTTTTCTGGACAAAAGTCATGGTGATCAGTCTTGTTATCTGTATCATCTGCATTACATATAAACTGTCAGAAAAATAATACTTCCACCCATGTAATATGGTGGCCAAAATCGAAATGGATGTTCGAAGGTGATATAGTTCATACAGTTGTCATAATGGTGTTTTAAACTTTTGCTGTGGTTCAGAAAGGAAACACGGTGTAACAACTTTCACCATACTATACCTTTAACATGAAATACAAACAGTATCATTTTCTTGTACATGGACAGTTTTAGTTAGCAATAAATCTACATTAAATCGACATAAAGTGAATGAGTATGGTTTTACGCCGCTTTTAGCAATATTCCAGCAATATTACGGCGGGGGAAACCAGAAATGGGCTTCACACATTTTACCCATGTGGGGAATCGAACCCGGGCCTTCGGCGTGACGATCGAACGATGTAATCACTAGGCTACCCCACCGCCCCTAGCGACATAGATCACATCCTTACCTTTTCAGCTAGCTGAAGGAGTTAACCTATTGGTCATGTGAACAAGGCGTCCGATTTCGAATCAGAAGGTCCTTGGTTCGAATCCCAGCACGGGACTAGGAAACGTGTTTGGCCGCTACATATATAATAACGGTTACCTATTTACTGAAACAAGTACTGAATGAAAGCATTCTTGGAGTCCATGTATGGGTTCAAGCATTATATGGAGCTACACATTATTTTAAGCCCCTTGTTTCAAGTACCAACCCAGAAGTATAAAGCAGAATATAGACGCCCTGATGCTGACTGCATTTCTGTCCTGTTTTGACTGACTTGTGTGGACAGCAGTCGTCGACGTTCTGCAGATGTTGACCACAACCATGATGTAGAGGACGATGTTGCTGACGATGATGAGGCCAACAGGGAGGGAGAAGCCGTAGTAGAAGGTTGTCAAAGACATCCAGCAACTGTAGGTCAATGTTACGATATCGATATTGGTCAATTTAGTTTTCACTCTGGTACGATGCAAACCAAGGGGGGAAAGAATGTATTATTTCCGAGTTTGGTTTTTATTCTATTGCAAAGTGAAAGAACTCGTGTAAAATTTGACTATGTCTTCTAAATCATCACCCATTCCAACATTAGTTTGTTAAAAGTAATTTGTCGCTGTATAATTCGGTGTTAAAATAAATGGGTTAATGTAGTCTGGTAAGAAATGAAAATATCCCCAAGAAAATTATAAATTTGTGCCGAACAAGATGAGATAGCTAAGGTGCCCAACAGCAGTTGTGGATTATGCGAATTCACTCAATTAATTTCTTTTAAAAACATTATCAAATATTTTGAAAAATATACTTTTAGAAGTATTATTTGAATAATAACTTAGCGCTAGAAATGTATTATGTTGTTGCAAACTTATATTCTTTTCAATTAATTATCGGACGTATTGTAAAGTATACTGAGAGATGTAGTTTTTCCCGAGTGTCTTATTGTCTTTATTGTTCACTATTGGACCGAGCAATTCACCTATTGCAAGCTGACGGGGTCTCAGCGTATGAGCGTATCTATCAACCGAACCTCTGACATGGACTATTGTGGCATGTACTGTGACAATTTTCGGCAGATGAACACACAATAGGGCAATATAAGCTTTACCTGCATACATCTAACTTTGGTTTCCTTGTACACTCATAAGATTTGCGTTGATGCGTACCCAAACTGATCAGAGTACCCTTATCCCAACTTACCGTAGTAACATAATAATGGTCTATGACGTTACTTACTAAGTATCTCCCCCTCTGTAAAGGCCGGGGTCTATGGACAGAATGACAACTGGAGGAAGCAGGGGTATACCTAGAAACAAATGTCAAAATACATTTACTGAAATATTCATTGTTGAGAAAAAGAGGGAACGAAAGGCACCAGCCTGTAAGTCATAACGAAGTTGGCTGGTTTGTTGTTTAACGGCGCAATATTCCAGCAATATTCCAGCTATATGACGGCGGTCTGTAAATAATCGAGTCTGGACCAGACAATCCAGTGATCGACATCATGAGCATCGATCTACGCAACTGGGATACGATGACGTGTGTCAACCAAGTCAGAGAGCCTGATCACCCGATCCCGTTAGTTGCCTCTTACGACAAGCATGGGTTACTGAAGACCAATTCTAACCCGGATCTTCACGGGTACATAAAGAGGTCATAATGTGAGTCATTAAACTTGAATACACAATCTGGAAACGTTAAACGTGGCAACAAACGTTAGTTCACTTAGCCAAAATGAGCACCGGGCTACAGGCAAGATTATACCACGTATGGCAGCAATATCCCCAAGACAACCAAAGAAGCGGAAGTCTCCTTGTAACGACATTAAGTCAAGACAGAGTTGTCTGTCGTTTACAGTTGTTCCAGCGCCACCTACCCGTATCATCAACAGCGATGCAGACAATTGTAATCAACGTTGTCACACAATTGTGCCAGTTAACAGATATGCTGATGTTCACACACTTGAGTGTGCTTTGTGAAGAGTTTCCATTCAAGGCATAGTTGAAATACACTATAAAACTTGAAATGTTTTGTTATTACAACAACTGCAAATTTGAGTTGAGTTCATTACATTCCAGACTGTCACATCAAGTGGATGATTTTCTTATCGGTGAAATAATATCCCTATAACATATATCTGGTGAGAGTTCATTATTTCTGAACTGTAGGCCAGAGGCCCATAGTACAAGTAAAAAACAGTTACAATGGGTGTGTGGTACAAGCGCGTTTGCGTTTTAACAGTGCATGGGGTATAAACGTAGCAATAATATAATATATGAATGTGAATCTTGAATTTTGAAAAAACGTTTCACAAAATGGAAGTAATGATCTCACACTCACCCCAAGCTGGTATGGCTGTCTTCAGTATGAAGCTGGGGATGTAGGTGCCAAGAACTTTGACAAACAGGATGTAATGAAGCACTGCTTCTATCAGCATCCACATGAACGACGCCAGGATGAAGTAGTGCAGTAACACGGCCACCACGATACACCCAGTGTGATTCCCGGTCTGGTTGATGCCAGCCAGAAATACAATCCACGAACACAGCTCCGCCAGAGCCAGGTTAAACATCGTCTGCTGGGGACGGGTTTGACGTAACTTCCTGTTTGCGGGTAGGCAGAGAGACATCCTGTCATAACTCACACAAACATGCAGACACTGACGAGCGTACGCACACAAACACATCCGCGCACAGACAGTTATCAGGTATACTACATCTAACATTGACACATTTGCTGATGTAATCTTAACTAAACTAACGTTTAGCCTCTGAATATATATAATTTTGATAGAAACAAACTATTCTTTATGAATTTAAAGCGGAGATTCAGAACCTTAGGAAATCTAGGCTTGCTTTTTCAGGGCTTTAGTATTGCAGAAAGGGCTGGGCGGAAGTTAAAATAAGTTAAAGTCCGGGTCAGGGACTGTGAGACAACTTTCGTAAGATAATTACAGATTACTGATCACCAACTGTTCAAATCACAAAACGCGCCACTGTTTTCGAATAAGCTGCAATCCTTGCTTGCGTGTCTGAATTGAACATACTTGAATAGTTTGTGAAGTAGTGATACTTACAAATCACACATGTTTGACGTGCGAGAGTGATTAAGTGTGTGTATGTACAGACATGTAGGTCTGTAAATTTACATCATTACATTATTATAACGTTGCTATGGCGTCTACCATGGTAAAAAAAGCTTGACTGTCAAATTCGATTTTTAATGAACGATGTGTGTTTAATATATAGAAGGATTCTTCTATGGCGTGTTAACTCTCAAAATAACTATATGCATGACTCTCAGGCATCTTATAGTCGTGGTTTGCTGAATGTATCCAGACAGACTTGAAAGGCATCAGAATTGTATTCATACCAATACCCCAATAAAGCACTTACCTGAAGGTTACAAATGAGAGCACTGTTAAAGACAGCCCAAATATCGAGAGACTAAGTCCTATGATGGTGATGATGCTGAGAGCAAGGGAGTGTGTCAGACTAGCTTGGCCGTAGAAGTCCTACAGGAACAGAAACGGTGTGAAGTTGGCTGGCTTTGGGTGATGGTGAGTTTGTCAAGCTGTAATGGTGCATATGTCATGTGTATTGCATTACCTTGAAAGTCAAAAAGTCGTTGATTTTCATTTAATGTCATGAGATTGACCGTTACTCTTCAGTCAAGTTGTTGTTTATTGTTTAACGTGACACTCAGCAATGTTCCAGCTATATGCCGGCGGTCTGTAACTAATCCAGTCTGGACCAGACAATCAAGTAATCAACAGAATGAGCATCGATTTACGCAGTTGGGATACGATGACATGTGTCAACCAAGTCAGCGAGCCTGACCACCCATTCCCGTTAGTCGCCTCTGACGACAAGCATGGGTTACTGAAGATCAATTCTAACCCGGATCTTCACGGGTCTACAGTTAAGGTATAGCACGATATGTCATATTGTTATAATGCATACACATCAATTATTCATGTTACGATACGACGGAAGTAACTACCGTGCAATATACAATGCACCTGGGTTTGATGTTGGCTTGAATGAAATATACAAGAAATATTTATCCAATGGTGATACATTTGATACATATATCATACTTTTGTCAACACGTTTGTAGTGGTTCGGTGACTGTTTTCAGCCCACTAACCTTTCATGAACTGTAGTTACTGGTTCTGTCCAGTCTATCAAATGCATACTTTTGCCCGGCCGTTTATCTGATACATTCTCTAATTCAGATCCAAAAACATGTAATTATGCCTCTCACTGTTGACATAAAATGTCATTTCCCTTAGAAATTCCCAAAGACAAAATCACTTTTATTAACTAATAAAATTTATATAATATTTGTCCAACTATAGTTCTTAACTTGCGGTATCCGTTCGCCCCAAGAAAACAATTTTTCATTTTACCAGTGTACGACGTTCGTTTCTATGTGTGAAATAGGTCATGTGATCTTCCAGATGTATACAATGTAAAGCAGCAGTACCAGTAATACAGCGAAGTTTGTCAGGTGATCACAAATACAGACATCACGGCCATTCTCCTCTCTCACATAACGACAACCGTCAGTCGACCAAGATCCGGTGTCGTCATTTCCGGTGAAATTCCAGTACCCACAGGAAGTGACATCTGTGCGGGCGCCCGTATCTATGGACTGTGCAACCAAAAATGGCTCATCAAGTAAAAAAGGAATACGAAATTACAACACAAATGACAAAATATTTTATGGAAATAGATACTGGACTGACTTCCTGACTATTGAAGGAACTATTAGTTGTACCTTCATCGGCATGAAGACAGTTGTTACGTTGTACTGGTGCAAATCTCGGACAGGACGACCATCAACGAGAAGCTGAGCTGCAATGACCTTGCTGTTGAGTGTGTATTTGATGGCTGGCCTCGGTGTGTTCTCCCTTGCAGTAAACAGGCGGGTGTTTTTGAATACGCTCAGTACAATAGTCACGTTTTGACTACGAGAATCTGAAAAACATGTGATTACGTAGTCATAACAGTTCTTGATGAAAGAACACTGTTCGTCATTCCTCCACAATGTTTTGAAACGGTGTATGTGATGAAATATAGCACGTCAGATGACAGTTATACTGCTAACTTACCATTATACATGAGTATATATTTGTCTAGGAAGTTCATTTCATTACCATAAGGATAGTTAAATACGATTAATACAGATTGGTAATCAGAGCATATTTCCTTGCCGTTTGTATCCATAGTGCGTAACCTGTGGTCATGTTATCAACCACTGGTTTGCTTGTCCCCGACTCAGTTATTGTCTATCTGCGACGATATTACATCTGACTGCCGCGAAAAACACCCACTCACTTACCATTTACTATTTGCTGGATGTAATCCTTGGAAAATATAATTGCAGCGTCGGTCTCCCCGTAGTTCAGTTCCGAGAGGGCGAAGAGAGATACTAAGCTTTCATTCTTTACAGTTTTCTGGTATTCCTTTTCAGAAAACTGAAGACCAATCACAGGGTCTTTCTGGATCGGATCTGTCAAGTCCCAAACATCGGTGCCGAAGCTGCTGGTGACTATCCGCTGGTGCCCCGAGGGCTGTGGGTTGATCTTGCCCGTAGCCATGTCAACAGCGCCCAGGATTCTGAAGGTCAACGAGTTAAAATGCTGGATCTTGCAACATTTGCACAAAACACGTTCTTAGAAGATAAAAAATATTGCCAGAATATTTTTACTTTCAATATGAAATATCTGCATCTATCCGTACCTTGCTGAATTCGTTTCCAATCTGTGGACTATAAAATGCTGAAGCTGTTACTGCCCTCTGCTTCTTCCTAACTTCTGTAGCCATGAGATTATAATTCTTCCTAATAATGATCCAGGCACACGTTGGATCTCTTCCCATATCAACATTGTGTACCCAACTGAAGTAATATTCTCTGCTGACTTCATCCACACTCACATGTACAATGTAACAAGTTTCACTGTACTTGTATATATTCATGACAATGAGGACATGCTAACCTGTTGGGAACTTGGCCACGTCTCTCTACTTTTGTCATTACTGCATCTTCCGAGTCCAGCACTCTTTCGTAAATCCTCATCATATTCTGAAAAGTCTGCAATTCACAATATACGTTCAGGATTCCTTTATAGTTGGTATTTAAAGCAATAATGTTTATACCATTGGCGGAATCCGGTTCTGCAATAACAACATTTAGCCATATCTGCTAACGGGGTGTACTGCTTTAATGATGAGTGGATATAGCCCTACTTAAACGTTCAACAACCTACTTTGATTCTGGTACTCTACGAGTTCACACATGTTTAAATAATTCAAATTCATACGAATGCCAATATTTGGTTCGTACCATTTATATTTGGAAAGGCTTTATTCTGTTTCAGTGCACGGGGCGTTGTTCATTATATCAATCACTGGTGTGAATTATTCAGACATCGGATACTGATTATTTATAGAATGTACAATGTCATTAATGTATTTCAAATTCTCATTCAAATGTATATAAAAAGTCACATACTCGACGTTCTTGTCATACGGCAGCCATATAGTGGGAAGATTGTTCAGTACGGCGTTAAACAAACAGCTATATTTATTAATGGATTCGAATGTCAACTGAAAATTGAGCTAACAAAGATAATTAAACTAATAATTAAACTTTCCATTGCCCTTCAAGAGGTGTACAGACATATTCCTCACAACACATATACAGGTGCGTCTTCATACCTCTACGGACATCTCTGAGATGCTGGCAACGTTTTCCAGGATGCTGGCTATATAGATGAGGTCAGTCTCACTCAGCGTCGTCTCGTTGATGATCGCCAGGGACGTGTGCAGAACGTCGTCCACGTTGCTGTCAGTCACATCAATCTGTCACAGTTTGTACAATTGTCAACACCACTAGTCAAGGCATATACCATGTTAAATACGTATCTGTCAACGACATACTATATAGTTAGTTGGGAATTGTACATTCCTCAAACTAATCCGAAGTCAGATCAGGGACATTTCCAGTCACTGTTGTTTAATATAAATAGTTTATTTTTCTGAAGAAACCTAGGGTAGTTGACAAGGTCATTACAATGTACCTAAAATGAACGTCATTGCTAATGTGAGCACATTGCAGAGATTGCGAGATTACGGATGAATGATGTAGAATGTCAGTGTAAAATGATACCAGTTTTGACTATCATTAAAAAAATTCCTTTTGGAATAAACGACACAAACACTGTCCCTATGAATGGCCCATTGAAAATCAGCGATGCCACCAGGTTTTCGGGAAAAGGGTAAGCATGTAATGACGTCCCCGTAGCACCCGCCTTTTACAAAAAAATGCCCCAAAATGTAATTACAAAGACAAGGACTTTTGAAGATATGCTTTTTACTCTCTGAAAGATGAATCCTAACAGTTTTGTGGTGCACCAGACTCTTCATCAGTTTATCCTGTGAACAAATAATCTTTGTCGGGTTGTAGACAAAATACAATATCCACTCGTGGCAGAGTTACCTGTGACTGTTTCTTCAGTGTTGATGATACCACAGAGTTGGTTAAATCAGTCACATCACAGCCGGCCTGAAATTCGACCTTTCCCCAGTATGCGCCGTACAGCTTGTTTCCTTCGCACTTCCTTTTGCCCAATGCCTTGTTATCTGTGTATTACAAACATGAAAGCGGTTATACCTCGTTGAAATAGTAAATTATTTATCATACATCAAGAAAATGAAAAATCACTTGATAGCAATTTAATATTTTCTTAAAATCACTGGGATATTTCTCGATAATGGGATCATCCAATCCATTTAAAAGAACCGATCATTGAATCATGTGATGTCCTTTTTGAACTATTTCGTAATGTATGTAGTGTCCATTGTTGTTGAATAAGTATTGATTTAGTATATCGCACTGAAAATGTCAGAAAACAACACATCTGTACCCATGTTGGGAATCTTAATTCCGCGGATCACCGGGAGCATTGTCAACTTGGCTACTCGTCTTATCCGTGTTTTCCTGTTTTGTTTAGCTTGTGCGTGTGTGTGCTTCAAGCATGACTAGTTTACTATCTGAGTAGAGTAGGACCAGTATACTATCTGAGTAGAGTAGGACCAGTATACTATCTGAGTAGAGTAGGACCAGATATACTATCTGAGTAGAGTAGGACCAGTATACTATCTGAGTAGAGTAGGACCAGTATACTATCTGAGTAGAGTAGGACCAGTATATTCTATCTGAGGTAGAGTAGGACCAGTATACTATCTGAGTAGAGTAGGACCAGTATACTATCTGAGTAGAGTAGGACCAGTATACTATCTGAGTAGAGTAGGACCAGGATTCTATCTGAGTCTAGGACCAGTATACTATCTGAGTGAAATTAGGACTATATCTGAGTAGAGTAGGATCAGGGAGTGGGACTATCTGGTAGAGTAGGACCAGTATACTATCTGAGTAGAGTAGGACCAGGGATTCTATCTGAGTAGAGTAGGATATACTATCTGAGTAGATTACTATCTGAGTAGAGTAGGACCAGTATACTATCTGAGTAGAGTAGGACCAGTATACTATCTGAGTAGAGTAGGACCAGTATACTATCTGAGTAGAGTAGGACCAGTATACTATCTGAGTAGAGTAGGACCAGTATACTATCTGAGTAGAGTAGGACCAGTATACTATCTGAGTAGAGTAGGACCAGTATACTATCTGAGTAGAGTAGGACCAGTATACTATCTGAGTAGAGTAGGACCAGGATATACTATCTGAGTAGAGTAGGACCAGTATACTATCTGAGTAGAGTAGGACCAGTATACTATCTGAGTAGAGTAGGACCAGTATACTATCTGAGTAGAGTAGGACCAGTATACTATCTGAGTAGAGTAGGACCAGTATATACTATCTGAGTAGAGTAGGACCAGCATTATCTGAGTAGAGTAGGACCAGTATACTATCTGAGTAGAGTAGGACCAGTATACTATCTGAGTAGAGAGTAGGACCAGTATACTATCTGAGTAGAGTAGGACCAGGATACTATCTGAGAAGAGTAGGACCAGTATTCTATCTGAGTAGAGTAGGACCAGTATACTATCTGAGTAGAGTAGGACTAGTATACTATCTGAGTAGATTAGGGCCAGTATACTATCTGAGTAGAGTAGGGGATAGTATACTATCTGAGTAGAGTAGGACCAGTATACTATCTGAGTAGAGTAGGACCAGTATCTATCTGAGTAGAGTAGGACCAGTATATCTATCTGGTAGGACCAGAGTAGTAGGACCAGTTTACTATCTGAGCAGTAGAGTAGGATACATCTGAGTAGAGTACTATCTGGTAGAGTAGGACCAGTATAGAGTAGGACAAGTATACTCTCTGAGTAGAGTAGGACCAGTATACTATCTATCTGAGTATCAGTAGGACCAGTATACTATCTGAGTAGAGTAGGACCAGTATACTATCTGAGTAGAGTAGGACCAGTATACTATCTGAGTAGAGTAGGACCAGTATACTATCTGAGTAGAGTAGGACCAGTATACTATCTGAGTAGAGTAGGACCAGTATACTATCTGAGTAGAGTAGGACCAGTATAGGAGCGTGAGTAGGACCAGTATACTATCTGAGTAGAGTAGGACCAGTATACTATCTGAGTAGAGTAGGACCAGTATACTATCTGAGTAGAGTAGGACCAGTATACTGGAGTAGAGTAGGACCAGTTACTATCTGACCAGTATACTATCTGAGTAGAGTAGGACCAGTATACTATCTGAGTAGAGTAGGACCAGTATACTATCTGAGTAGAGTAGGACCAGTATACTATCTGAGTAGAGTAGGACCAGTATACTATCTGAGTAGAGTAGGACCAGTATACTATCTGAGTAGAGTAGGACCAGTATACTATCTGAGTAGAGTAGGACCAGTATACTATCTGAGTAGAGTAGGACCAGAATACTATCTGAGTAGAGTAGGACCAGTATACTATCTGAGTAGAGTAGGACCAGTATGCTATCTGAGTAGAGTAGGACCAGTATAATATCTGAGTAGAGTAGGACCAGTATACTATCTGAGTAGAGTAGGACCAGTATACTATCTGAGTTGAGTAGAGTAGGACCAGTATACTATCTGAGTAGAGTAGGACCAGTATAC